GCTGAGCAGGGCACGCACGCTCGTGCACGGGGCTGCAACACGTGCCTGCCCTCGTCCTGCTCTGCCCACACAAGCCCTCCGACGCCTGCAGGAGCAGGGCAGCAGCACTGCCACAAGCCCTCACGTGCGCATCCTTGGGAAAACACTTGGATCCAGACATATTCCCACAGGCACGTGCCCGTGCTCGTCACCAGCCCTTTTCCATAGCCTGCTTATCTGACAGGGAGGGGAAGACGCAGGAGAAATCGTGGTTGCAAAGTGAAGCTGTGTTTTTCCTGGCAGTAGGCAAGACCAAGCACCAGTCCCATCACAGCAACATACTTGTGATGCTACCGGGATCCTCCATTTCTCACTCCAGTAACATGAAATTTAGCAAAACTGTTCCTTGCAGGAACACTGAGTACATAAATCCTTGCTTTGTATAAGCAGATGCATAAATACACATTGAATGGGCATTGGCACACCTTCAGATGAAACCAGGCCTTCTCTGGTGTTATCTGCTGTTAAATGCTAATGGGGAATCATTTAAGTATTAAATGCTGCCCCATTTGGGAAGGGATTGTGTTGGATTTTGTCTGGTATTTTTGGTTGGGGTTTGGGTTTAATTTTGGCTTTTGTGCCTAGCATGAAGTTGCAAATCTGAGACAATTTGGAGCTTCCTGAGGCGAAAAAGGTGTGCTAACATCACCTCCTCCATGTGTACAGCTGTCTCTCCCCCTTTCTACTGACATCCCGTTTCCTGTTTTCTTTGCATTTCTTTGCTGTGGGTCAGGTGATGCCGCTCTGGCACTGCGGTGGGAGGGATGTGCCTTCTCCAACCTGCTCTTTCCTTGCAGGATGTTTGTGGCGCAGCAGATCATCAGCAGTAACCTGCTGCTCCTCGTCACAGATGCTGTTTGCGACTGCAGCGTCTTCCCACCCGTCCTGCTGGATGTGAAAGAGGTCAAATATATCCTTCCATGTGCAGCAGGGGCACACAGCTCTGCAGGTCCCTTCATCTCCGTGTTTACTAGGGTGGAAAACATAGTCCCAGGGCAGTCGCCATGGGGGTGGAGGGCATGGCCCAACTTGTGGGACAGCTGGGGAGAGACATATGGAGCAGGTAGGGTTGCAGTGCAGTGGAGAGGAGGCATCGGTTCTGCCTTCCATCCCCCCTGCGAGGAAGCCAGCCTGCACTGGCCAGGCTGTCGAATACACTGTGTGAGGGTGAGGGGGGGAGAGGCCAGAGAAAAGGATCAGTGGTGGGGTGGGTTGCAGCCAGGCTGGCTCCCCAACACTGCTCTGAACCCTGTTGGGTCCTCATCCCTTGCTCTTCGTAAGGGGCAGTGTCATGGTGCAGGTTGTTGCCACGAAGCTGTGCCCATGCATTTTCACCGCTTTCAGCTGCAGGTCCTTCTTTGCCCCCTTCTAGCGCTTGATGATGTCTCCAGCCCATGCAAGGTGACCTGCCCTTCCCGTGTCCTCCCCGCTCTGTCTCCCATGCTGTGCAGTTACACCTAGGTGACTTACATCAGGGCCCCTTGGACTGTGCAGTGCTCAATCCCCTTTCCCTGCCTGCTGCTGCGTGTCCTTAACAGCCTCGCACATAATGCTTCAGTGAAGTGTGAACGGATGCGGTCCCAGAAGCTGAGGCGGCGGCCGGACACGTGCCACGCGTTCCATCCTGAGGTATCCCGGGGCAGCGCAGTGGGGAGAGCGCACAGCTGGGTTTCACCATGGGCATGCCTCTCTCCTCTTGCACCCCTGCATTGTGTGTATCATGCGCCCATCCCACTGGCTGGACACAGACACAGCCCCGTGACTCCTCAAGAGGTTCCAAGCCCCTGAGTCATGCTAATGATACCTGGGAAGGGCTTGAGCTCAGACATCACAGGGTTACTGGGTTTCTTTGGGGGGTTCACCTTCAGAAGAGGCCTGATTCCTGGAACCAGCCCTTGCGATCTGGGCTTGGTGCAGGCAGACAGCTGTCCCACCTGCAGGGATGGCAGGAGTTTGGTCCAGGCACCTTCACACAGTGCCAGGGGCCAGAAGCAGGCACAGTGACCTGCTTGTGGGTAGGGGACTCTGGAAGGAGCTGCAGGAGGAACATGCAGGTGGGAGCCGATCCTGCTGCAGCCTGCGAGGCTGAGGGATGGGTTTTAGTCTATGGGGCAGAGCATGGTGAATGCCAAGGAGGCAAACGTCTTCCTGCAGATGGCCACCATGGAATCAAACTAGTCTCTTCCTTTGCCCCTTGTGATCCTTCCTTTAGACTACAGGCATTGCTCCCCCTCCAAAGGCAAGAGGCAGGCTCCATTCCCTCCGCCAGCAGCCACCCTGTGAGCAAGCTGACATCTTCTCTCCATCTCCCAGGAAAACGCCCAAGACTGCGGTGGCACTGCCGAGATCTGCGTCTCACCACTGCTGCTCTTCCTGCCCCTGGTGCTGCTCCTGCGGTGATGCTGCCTGCACACGCCTTACGCAGCAGAGACCCGGGAAGAGGGGGCTGCCGCTGGCCCCAACAGCAGGAGGGGAGGAGATGGGGGCTCAGGCCATTCTGTGATACCCACTGCAACAAACTGGTGAGATGAGGCATTAGCAACGAGGTGCAACACGTCCTGTGTCCTGCACCACATGGTCCAGTGTGGTGCCAGTGGTGGAAGCTGCTCCCTCTCCCTCCTCGAAAGCTCGTGGCAACAGTCGTGCATGAGGACCAGCAGGGTCAGCTCCCAGCACACACACCACCTCCTGAGCTGCTCCTCCCATCCATCAGCTCACAGCTGGGGTGGCCAAGATTGTTGGCATGGCTGGCATGTCACCATCACCGTGGCTCCCACAGAGACACTTCGGGGTAGTAGAGGGCTCTGTGGGGCAGATCTGGCCTTAGAAGAGCAAGGGGGCAGGGGATGCTCTCTGCCTGTCTCACAGTGGGAGCCACCAGGATTTGGAGCATCCAGGTCTGGAGCAGCCCAGGCACAGCCCTGCCAGAAGGGGGCCCTTAGCGGTCCCAGGAGGGAGGCAGCATCTCCTGGGCTTGGTGGTGGTCCTTGACCAGGACTCCAGGAACAGGACATGACACCTCACCTGACCTGCACTACTTAACACGTAATCAGGTGAAAGCAAATAGCACAGCTTGGCTAGTTAGCTGCAGCTACGCCAGCTCTGCTGAGGAGATCTCTCCTGACACTGCTAGCACAGCATCCAGAGTCTTGTCTAGATGTGGACTTAACCTCTGGGAAGGGGTTATGGATGACCCACCAAAACTGGAGGTATGTTTCCCACTGCCTGCTAGTTTCACTGCAGAAGCAGCTAAGAAATGGGCACTTTTCTCCTTGCAGCACTGCCCTGCCCACTGAAGCAGCCCATGCCCAGCTGGTGGGCATGGGCCATTTCTCACAGAGCTTTACAGACACATGGGGAGCACCCCTTCTTCCTTTTACTTTTTGTATGAACTGCTCCACACCATCTCACTAAAAACAAATATATGGCATATTCTAAATAGGTACTTAAGCTTCAGCGTGTCATGTTTGGTGCTAATCACAGCCCTGTACCACATCCCCTCACCAAACTCATAGGGACGTGGTCTGGGTGGAGGGACTGCAAACCCAGCTGTGGTGGCCTGGCCATTGGGGATGTGCCAGCAACTCGTGGGGATGTCAAGAAATGCTCCTGGTTGCAGTGCCACTGTTTTTACTGGAGTTTGGGACCTCTGACCATGCAGTGCGCACTGTGAACCAGCCAACTGCACCCCACAGCCCGCAGCTCTCTGTCACCTCCAGGGCAGGATGGGTGTCCTGTCATCTATAGCCAGTGGCTATAGATGGAAACAGGATCTCACTCTGAGCTCTGCACCATCCCCATCTGTAGCCACCCCAGCACCCATGGGTACACACCGTGGTGGCTCCAAGGGAGCAGGCTATCAGGCTGGCAAAGCAGAGCCTTGCCCTGGCCTCCTCTGCCAGGTCAATCACTTTGGGAACCCCCTGCACCCCTCTGGGCATCCTGAGAGGTGTGTGGCTCATCAAACTGAGCTGCTACCGCCTGCAGGGTAAGTGCCATCCGAAACTAAGGGAACAGTACCAGTCACAACCAGGTCCTGGTGGGGACCTTTCAGTATGTTCCAGCTCCTGCTGTGGGGGGTTTTGCTTCACTGAGGGCAGTGTTACAGAACAGGGGAGAGGAACAACTGTGTACTGGAAGTAAATCTGGCCATGGTTTCCAGGCTTCAGATGCAGTGACCTTATCAGAGGCAGAAGCAGCCAAAGAAGATGAAGACAGTGAGGAGGGAAAAGGGGCTGCTGTCAAGTCTGAGGAGTCAGGAGCTGCTCGCAGACGGAGGAGCCACCGACTCAGGGCATCCCCCGCTGCTGGCACAGCTCCCGCAGCTCCATGCACATGCCCTTGGTGCTGCCCTCCTGCGGCACCACTCTCAAGGGTGACCTCCCTGTCAGAAAGGATTAGCAGTCCCATGTCCACTCAGCTTAAAAAAGATACAGAAATACATGTTGTCCTCCTGCACAGGAACCATGTTTGATTTCAGGTGCATTAACCCACAGTGAACATGGTCATACAGAGACTTGCACTGGGAGAGTAAAGACATGAGCTGTACCTGGCTTAGCTGACTTAGCTAGTTTGTGCCTCAGTTGTAACTAGAGGGAATAGGACAGGGGTGAGAACTGGATTACGTTTTTAACCAAAAAATAAGGGTGAAGGTTTGCTGCAGGGATCAAGGAAGAGGGGACCTGCACTGAGCCCCCCGCACTCAAAACCCTGGTGGGTTTGCTCTCCAGGGCAGGTAGCAAACACACACTGCAGCAGTCATATCTGCTACAGAAGCTTCTGCTGCTGCACATGAGGTTTGTCTTCACCATTTATTAGGAGGCAAACACAGTCCTCTTCTCCCCACAGTGCTGCTGATCCACAGTGGGATAGCTACACTTAGGTATGGTTTTAGCCTTAGAAGGCAAATGGCTTGTGGAGGTTTTTTGCCAGCAAAGCAGACCCTAAGCACACCTACCCCTTTCTGGTCTCCAGCATGGGGTTAAGCAAATCCCACCGCGTGCTCTGCTTCCGCGGCAGAGGTAGCAGCTCATGGCCCTACAGCAAGAGAGAAGTCCCCAGGAAGAGCAGTTGCTCCCAACTTCTTCAGTCATGTGCTGGGCACAGCACATTAAAACAGGTCAGCAAAAGCAAACAGATCTGAGGCTGGAGGATCTGACCAGCAGAGGAGCAGCTGTGAGAGGAGCCATCTCTCACTTCCAGATGAGCAGCATGCCGCTGCCATCCTGATACAGCACTGTAAATCACAGCTGTACCTCCTGCAAGATCCTGCTCACCCCCACAAGCACACACACTGTAGGCATCAGAGTTTATTCTAATAAGGCAAGACTGGATGGGAGAAAACTCCAAGCACTGTTCTGCAGTGAGGGGTGTCCGTCAGACCTACCCAGCCACATCTGGCTGCCACACACATCAGGGGCTTCGCAAGCCCTGAATCTGCAGCTGATTTCCTGCCAGGCTGGTGGAGAGGGAGATGAAATCTCTGTTACACCCCTTACAGGCTTTGGAAACACCCCGCTGCAGGCTGAGCTAACCCTGGATGCTGTGGTGGGCACTGAGGATGTCTGAGCTGCAGGCAGGGATACACACCTACACACACCTTGCACATACACGTGCCATCCCTTGACTCATGCCTTGGGTCAGAGCAGGCGGATGACCAGTCCTTCGAGTATGGGCAGACAGGGATGACTTCATCCTACAAAACAGGAGGAAAATCAGCCCTGGATTTACAGCAGCTGTTTGCAGTTGGGAGTGGGCACAAAGGCAGCAGCTTTTCAGCAGGCTGGCCTGAGTGGGCTTATCCTTAGCAAGAGCCTGGCACATCCCAGGCTGGACATGGCAGCGGTCACAGCGAGGAGCCACATGCTCCAAGTGGGTTAAGAGGGGAGGGTGCCCTCCTCTGCTCCAGCAAAGGACCACTACCATGCTCTGGCTTGGGTTTATGTGCACCTCTCAGGCTCAAGCTCCTCAGAATATTTTCCAGATCCTGCTGCTTCTGATAAAGCCCAATGGTACTTTCATTGCAGAAACCCTGGGCTCTCACAGGCCCCTGCTTGCAGGGGAGGGAAGCTGAGGGCAGCCAAATGCAGCATGCACCTTTGCATAAAGCAGCTTTTCAAAAGCAAGTGGAGAAGGAGCACCAAACTCCCATGTGCTGGATGGCTCCATCACCAGCTGGACCCTCGCTAGAGGGGGTTGCTGCTCCCATCTCCCCTGGACACCGGGAGCTCCTATATCCCTCAGTGCAGGCTGTTCTCGAAAGCCCCTGCTGCAGGTTCCCTCACACCACCTCTGCCTCCACCTGACAGGAGCCTGGGCACCGCCTGCCACTCACTCAGCCAGCAACCACCACTGTCATCACCCCCTATGACATCAGCTGCAGTAACGCAGCCCATCACCAGCACCTGATGCAAACTGTAATGGCCCCACTTAAATGCCACCAAGCACATTTCTTCAGTAAATACCTCATGGGCCTTGCTCTTCCTCCTCTGCTTGCTGCTGCCTCGGATGCTGGGAGCCCTGGCACCCCTGCTGCTGGCGGCAGGAGAGGGCTGGGCACTGAGCCCTGTCCTTACATCTCCATTTGGCTCTTC